CCTCAGTCAATTAAGTGTCTGCCTCCAGCTCAGGTCATGATCCCAGGGTTCTGGGATTGAACCCCACTTCGGGATCCCTTCTCAGTGGGGAATCTGCTCCTACCTCTCCCTCTGCTGCTCCCTCTGCTGTGCTCTCTCTCTCTCTGTCAAATAAATAAATAAAATCTTTTAAAAATATAAAAATACAGGGTGCCTGGATGGCTCAGTTAGTTAAGCATCTGCCTTCGGCTCAGGTCATGATCTCAGGGTCCTGGGACTGAGCCACACACTGGGGTCCCTGCTCAGCTGGGGAGTCTGCCTCTCCCTCCCTCTCTCCTTCTTCCCCCTGACCCAGCTCATGCTTTCTCTCTCTCTCAAATAGAATATTTTTAAAACAATACATATATATAAGTAAAAAATAAAAACCACAAAGAGCTTTAAAATAATCCTGAATAACCTTAACCAATTAAACTTGACCTGAATCCAGCTGCCTGCTCCGCTTTCACTTCCCTGAAAAGATTGGGTTCATATATACTTTTTGTTTTCAAATATCCCCCAGAATTCCTTCCCTGTTTTTCCTCCTTGTTTTAACATGCTCAAAAAAAATTTTTTTAAAGATTTATTTGCTTATTTTGCGGGAGGAGGGTGCAGAGGGAGCGAGAGAATCTTAAGCAGACTCCCCGCTGAGCGCGGAACCAGACACAGAGCCCTTTCTCACGACCCTGAGATCATGACCCGAGCCAAAATCAAGTCAGACGCTCAACGGACTGAGCCACCCAGGCACCCCCAAACAAGATTTTAATAAAAAAGAAAAACTCAAAGGTTTTCAGTCATGCTACTTCTCTGTGATTGATGCATCAACCAATAGATATTTATTGAACATCTTGTGTTTGTCTAGAACTAGGCTAGATGCTATGGGATTTAGATACGGTAAAGGCACTATCCTTAACCTTGAAGACATGTTATCTTATCTGGCTGTCAGTGGAAGAGGTACGGAGAAGATTCAATCACCTAGAAGGGAAATGAAAACGCTCTACATACTACTTGTGAGGTGTGCCATTCCCAAGGGTTTTCCAGACTTTGGAAGTGGGAGATACCACCGCACTGAGGTAGACAGGAAAGCCTTCATGAAAAAAAAAAATAACTTGTGTTGGACCTTCAAATGTGGATAGGACTTGCTCAGTAAGCATCTGTGCAGATATGCAGCTCCATTCAGCCATCCTGTCCTGCCTTGTGGAAGGTCACCTATGCTTAGCCAACAAAGTACTTCACCTGTGGCTTTGAGACCCCATCTGTACGTTACACTATACTCCCAAAGCTGCTTTCTACTCCAACCTGGCCCTTTGTGTTTGGGCCACTACTGGTCTATCTTAAAGTCATGGACATCATCCCTACTCTGAGTTTCAGAATGGCCTTGAGTCACCACTGGTCTGGTGGGTCCTGCATGGTTCCCACACCACCCCAGGGACTCCCTCACTCACAACCTAAATGGACAGGAGCACGTTTCCTCGGCTGGGGTCTTGACAGAATTTACCCTTTGCCTTCAGAATTTTCAGGACCACCAGTCTTGACTCTGGGTCTCCTGAAGCTGTCATTGCCCACTTGGTCAGGAACTTCTCAAACCTGCCTGAGCCATTACTTTCTGACACATGTCTCTGCATGGTATCTCAAAGGTTTATGCCGTTCCCGAGCTATTCCTGACACCTGGCTGCCCCTCCTCTGTATCAGCTCACGCCTCACCTGCTCCTTGGGGCCTTCCCTGAACCGAGAGTCAGAACCCTAGGAACATGAAGTCTGAGAGTCTGAACCATTACTTTACGGCATAACCTCTACCACCTGGAATGTCTTTCTCTAGATGTTTGTCTTGCTTCTCCAGCCAGGGCAGAGACTGAGCTCATTAGACAGTAGCTTCTTGAGAGCAAGACCTTTTATTGCCATTTTTATATCCCCTCAAAGTGCTGCATTAAACTGCCCTCTATCTGCCTTACAGAAAGCCTTGCCAACTTCCCAGTGGGAGGTTCTCCAGAAATGCCTGCAGTCAGCTTGATGGACTGTTCTATCCCAAGGCCAGTCCATATGACCTGACTCTTACAGCATGGACCAGTCTTAGCCTGGCCTGACCTTCCTCTCTCAGCAGCACAGGGCCGAGGAAACCAGGGCTTCCCGGGCTTTGTTAACCATATGCTTTGTGTCTTTTGGCTCACAGGTGGTGCCATCACCACAACAGAATGATCCTGAGTCTTCTGAAATCCCTACCTATGAAAATTTCACCTGAAAAGAAAAGCAGCTGCTGCTTCTCTCCTTGTAGTTGGAAAATCTCCTGGAAAGTGTAAGGCCTGGAGCTCTTATAGACAGAAGCACTTCAGAACTGCCTTCAGTGTCTCCAAGATACCTGAATTTGACGCGCCCCCTTCCCTCCATCCCTGTGGCTTCCCAAATCTATGAATAGATCAGACACAGGCTCTGTCTTGGAGTCCCCAGGCTTCAAGAAGTCCCTGCTCCGTCCGTCCCCTTGTGTGCTTCTACAGTTTGGAGGCACCAACTCAGGACTCTGCCACGACTGGTCCAGTGTTGTTGAAAGGACCCTGGACCTTCACACCATCTTCTAAACAGCTGCTAAAATGAATCCAATGGATATTCTCACTCATGGACACAAAGACCCATGTAAAATCATGTCCACTGTAGTATCTTTTTAAATAAAAGGACAAACAACTTAAATGTCCATTTAGTAAGAATGTGGTTAAATGTGTGATAGTGAACCCATGCGACAGCAAGCCCTGCCACTTTTGTAAAGAAAGGAAAGACCAGGGAGGCCTGGGGGGCCCAGTGGTTAAGTGTCTGCCTTCAAGCTAGGGTGTTGACCTGGGAGCCTGCTTCTCCCTCTTCCTCTGCCGTTCCCGCTGCTTGTGTTCTCTCTCACTCTCTCTGTCAAATAAATGAATTAAATCTTAGAAAGAAAGAGAGAGAGAGAGATTGGAAGGAAGGAAGGAAGGAAAGAAGGAAGGAAGGAAGGAGAAGGGAAGGGAAGGAAAGGAAGGAAGGAAGGAAAGGAAGAAGGAAGGAAGGAGGAAGGAAAGAAGGAAGGGAGGGAGGAAGGGAGAGAGGAAGGACCAGTATGTGCTAATATGGAATACAGTCTAAGGACAAAGAAGTAGCCCAGGACAGTATGTATCACATGCTACCGGTTAGATAAAGAAGAAGTGTGTATCTACATGCTTGAATAGTTGTACAAAAGTTCCGAAAGGAAATATGAAATACTTATCAGTGGCTGCCTCCAGGGAGTGAACTGGGTTGTTTTTACTGCGTACTTCTTTGTACTGTGAATTTCTGTTTTTAACCACATATGTGTATCACTCTTTTGATATATTTTTAAGTGCTTAAAATGCCTCTTCCATATAAGCTTCCCATATTTACCTCAAAGAACTTCTCCTTTCATCGTCAGGTCTGGATGCAGAACAGCCATAGCATTTCTCCTTTCCCCCCAGTTACGGCTCAGCCCTATCCCCCTGCCTGTAAGTTGCACTACCTTGACTTACATTCATGACGCCGTAGTGTACGTCTGTGTCACGTGCACCTAGAAGCCCACATATGTCCTTCATGTTGTGCTTCTGCTGTTGTGCTCTCCTGCATGTGTCCTGTGGAGTCTGTATGCTTTCTGTGTCCTGCAGTGGGTCCTCCCAGGGACCAAGCAGTGCTTCATACACAGCAGGAGCTTAATTACTGCTTCTTCACTGGCTGGTCATTGCATGGATAATTATCCTCGTAAGGCATTATTACAGAAGCTCAGTAAAGACATACAATATGATAACGTTGTGCATTATTACACTCTAGAACACAGCATCCCCAAAAGCCCTGGGAGAGACCATGGGGTCTCTTCTGCTCCTTTAATAAGCTGCAACTCAGATTGCATGAAAGGCCGGGTCAGTGGTCAGTGTCTCTGGTGTTCATCTGAACTGTTCCAACCCCCATCGTTTCCAGCTCCCTCTGCTCACCAAACTCCTGACTCTAGCGCTGAGTTGCCAGTATGTGCCTTGGAGCCCCCAGGCTTCTTTTGCTTATGTTTTCCTGGTTTTTCCCCTTGACACCTGCTCCAAAATGTGGCCCGCCCACACTTGTCTCCAGGAGGAAGCTAGCTGGCCAGCCAAAGAGCCCCCAGGGGAGAGGGATCAGGAGGGCATGAGATGAACAAGGATAAGCAGTGGCTATGCTCCCATGAGACTGAATGCCCTGGGGTCTGGGGACTCTGGGATCATCTGCTCCAGTGTGAATGAGGCTGGAAGACACCAATAACTTGCAAGGAATCCAGACCCCTCTCCAGGAGGAACTAAACAGACTTGTGTTTATTGATGGACACAAGTGCCCTTTGGGTGCTATAGAGAGGAAAAGTACAGAATATGGAAGGGACACAAAAATTTAACTCAGAAAAGAAATTTAGAATGCCTCTGAATGACAGCATGGTTTTATATTAAATTCCCATGTTAAATACAGAGTGGACAACTGAGGAACCAGGCTCCATGCGATAGCCACAGTTGGGGTCTCTGAGTAGGACCTCTTCCAGCTCACACGTATCCCCTTACCGGGCTCAGCCAGAGTCTCGTCTCTTGTCCCCGCAGCTGTGTGGAAGAGACTGGCCTGAGGCTCAGGGGAGCCCAGCAGGGGGTCTAGTTCCCAGCTGCTCAGCCAGCTGAACCCTTGCTCCAGGATACGCCGTGGGGAGCACTCATCAGGACTCAGAACTTAAAGAGAGTATGGTTTCTACTTGTGAAGAATTTGTGAAGACGCTAAAACAGATTTCTAATAATGTGTTTTTGTAAATCATACATCATACCGTAGGCAAAGCTGGTCTCACTGTCCAGTTATCAGGACAGCATGGGCTCAGGGTGATCTTTCCACTCAGAGGTCAGCTTGCTCTGCACCGTCTACTCTCACTCCTGCCCTCTCTCCCTCATGATCAAGTGGCCAGAAGTAAGGGTTTAATGTGTGTGTGGGGGGGGGGGGGTTTCCTCTGTATCGGAGTAGAGCCTAGGCCCGGGCCTCCTGGAGAAGCTGCCTGTGGCTCACAGCTGGTTAGTCCATCCTCACGGCGGGGGGCTGTTTCTCTTTCTCTGAGTCACCCTATCTTTCCTCCCTCTTTGGAAGATGGGCCTGGGCAAGGGGAGAGTCTGGAAACGTGGTCTTTCCCGATTAGAGAGGAGGAAAGATGAGTCACACATTAGAAAACCAGAGGAAGGGATCGTAATGCTAGTAATAACAGCAGCCTGCATCGGCATAGCACTTGATAAACTTGCTGTGTGGCGGTCGACTTGCTTTGCAGTCTACGATGAACTACCCAACGGTCTACTCATTCTCATCCAGTCTGTAAGTTAGAGATATTATTTAACAGATTCGCTCTTACTAGAAATCATTTTCGAAACAAGACATAGACTATAAAAAACTCCCATGTCCTCTCTAGACTGTGCACCATTCTGTAAACTCATGTGGTATCATCCATTGCGCTGATTCCCAAAGCAACGCTGGGATGTTAAGGGAGGGGAGAACAGCTACAGCAACTAGGAATATATACAGAAGTTCTCCAGCTCCCTGTGGCTCAGTCGGGCAGGGTTCTGGGCTTTGAGTTGTGTCTTTCCAACCTGCGGAAGAAAAGAGGAACTTTAGACCCTCTCCCGCAAGGAGATCCTCATAGCATCCTTGAGAGGCATCAATTATTACCCCCATTTTACAGATTAAGAAAATGAAGCTTGGAGTTGTAGAACAAATAACGTAAAGGAGGAGCTTGAAACCAGTTCTTCTGGCTCCAATTCTAGTGTTTTCTTAACAATGACCCAGCCCTAGGTTGCATTGGCCCACACGGTGTCCTCTACAGCCCTGGGCTGTCCAGCTGGCTTTGATGTGGGGCTACAGCTGAAATGCCAGGAATTCGAGCAGGCACCCACCTACCTTTTCCCTTGTGACCACGGGCAGCATCTTTATTGGGCTGCAGGTGGAAGCTCCGATGTACCATGAAGCTAGTGGGTGGGAATGCCCTCCATGCCTCAAATTCTTCTGGGTATAATGGGAAGTATAATTATATCTACCTCATGGCATTCTATGAGGATTAAATGAGATAAGTCACATGACGCCACTAGCAGGCTACCGAACACATCATACACCCTCAATAACCATTGAGAGGCAAAGGGAGGAGCAGGGAGCCTGACCCTGAGATCATGACTTGAGCCACAGACACTTACCAACTGAGTCACCCAGGTGCCCCCCAGGGATGTTCCTACCCACATTTTCATTTTAGAGATGAAGAAACTGAGGTCCAAGGAAAGTAAGGGTTTAATTCAATGTCAGAGAATGTATTAGGGTTGGACTCTTATCTCTTATTAGGGAGCTTGAATTTTAAATTAGGGCTGTCCTCCAGCTAGTTCCCCAGCTGGGGGCTGTACATTGGACATGTCTCCTTTCCACGGGTGTGTGGGACAAGGGTGCAGAGAAGGGAAGATAAATATATCTAAATGATTTTCCAAAGTTAGCAAGTAATTGGGAACCATTCTGGGGCATAGATAATCTTACACTGATTCTGGAATGGACACTGTAAAGTGACGATTGAGCCTGGTGGCTCCATTGAAGCCATTTAGGGAATGGAAAATAGGGACACACACACCCCCGCCCCAATTGTATGCTGTCTATCTCTCTCAAATAAATAAAATCCTTAAAAAAAAATAAAAGAAGATCCCTAAAATCTCTACAACTCTGAGACTCTATGCATGGCTTTTTCACAAGTGTTCAACTTCAAGGCTTTTCTATGGGCCCTGAACCCATTCAGAAGGAGCTCTAGAATCTCACCTCTTCATAGATGGTATAACTGAAGGAAGAGCTCTGGTTCTTCTTCTTGGATTCAGACTGGAAATTCAGAGGGTAAAGAGTGCTTAACTTCAAGTCAGGAAACGTCCCACTCCTCACTAATGTGAGAGGTCCCCAAAGAGACTCAGGGCCCCCTCAAAAAAAAATCCCTGAACCCACAGCCAGGGGTGAATAAAATCTTCTACCCCGAGAGTAAGTAATGGGGTTTATGGTTTCCAGAGAAGGCACAATACACACTTACATATGACCTGACATTTCTGAACCCGAGTCAGAAGTTGGTATCCCGCACCCACATACCTCTCAGATCCATTCACACACATTCCCAGCGCACGCACACATACGCATATGTCCTCAGACCATGCATCTCATCAACACATCACACACACACACACACACACACACACACACCCCTAGTGTAAGCACTTCTGGCACACACATCCCTGACCGTGGTGAAACCCTAGAAACACTGGAATTCAGAGGCACTCGCAGTACTCGGTAGAGTCTCCTTAACAGCAGCAAGCACGTGACGGTGGTGCCTGTGACCGACCCTAGCGCCATGCCCTGCAGCATAGAACTGAAGTGTAACTGTCTCTCATGGTGGGATCTTGAGGGACTGAATGACATATTAGAAGGCAGGTGAATAAAAAGTCTGAAAATCTGTTTTAAACCTCTCCCCCATTTGACCTTGACCCGATGTACTCAACACTCCCCCAGTTCAGCATATTCCCAACTTCCCGTACCGTGTTAAGTTTATGTCATCCAGCTGTGACTCCAGCCTTGGAAATACCATTCTTCCAACTCCCCTCCCACTCAAGGTGAAAAGATCACCATGGGCACCAGGTTCACAAAAGAGCTGTGAGCTCAGCTTGGAGCGGGATTTGAGGGGGCTGTGATGGGTTGCCTCAGCTCACCAAACAGCAAATGACTGGCTAGAACCTTATCCGGTTTCCTGAAAGTCAACATTGTGTCTCTCTAGGTCTGGGCTACTCCTCTGGCTCTGGGCTATATTCTCCCACCTCGGAAACCCCTCTAGTATCTCTCCATAGCCTCAGCTGGCCTACTAAGGATGGCGTGGTCTCTCTGGACAAAGTACCACCTTTCTGTCTGATTGTCCTTGTCCCATAGAAACTCCTAGAGACACCTTTAATCCGCTGTTCTCTTAGTCTCAGAGCTGTTCTTTTTCTCCAAACAGAATCGGAAAAGCATTTCTAGTTGGCCCATTAACATTTAAATCCAGCCATTTAACCCAATCTGCTCAGATACACACAAGGGAAGACAACTCACGGGGCAGTGCACCCATACTCGGCAAGCTCACGTGCACGCGCAGATCCACACCTGCCTCCCAAGCACTGGAGGAGGAGACTCACCTTCCGGGAAGGCTGTATCAGCGCATACAATGTATTTGTTTCTTGTGATGTGGGAGCCGAGGACTAAGAAGAAGAGAAATAAAAGCCTTTCAGAAGCATAGATCCAACAGAATCCTAGGGAGGGAGGTCATCTCTTCCACCCCTCCCCCCAACCCTGCCCAGACAGAATCTCTAAGCACTAGTGAAAGGAACCCTGGACCCAGGAGGTCAGACAACCTGATGGCACTTACTCTGTATAAGTGTTCTCCCCTAACCCTTACGATACACCTACATGAAAGGAATGATCATCATCGGCCCCATTCTACAGATGAGGCTCCAAAAAGGTAAATGGCCCAAGTCAGACAGTATATTCACAGTAGAAGCAGGATTTAAACCCCAGACTCACCGGAGGTCTTTCCTCAACACCTCAATGCCTCCCGTTGGCAACATGCCTTCCTTCTCTGCACCTGAACCAGGTGTCCTCAGAGAAAGGTAGCCATCTTCCTTCTCAGGAACCCCAGAGGAAGAGGCTCCTTCTCACTCAACATCTCAGTCTGAGATGAGCTCTCCCTTGCATTTACTGAGATTCCTCTTGTGGGAATCCAATGTGACTAAAGCCAGAAAACTAGCAGGTATTGGTCACTCTTACATCTCTCTTTAATGCTCTTGGACTTTGATCCACTGTCAGTGAATCACATGATCTCATGGGGAGCAGGAGGGGGCACCCCCCCAACTTCCCCTTCCCTCTTCCCACTTTCTCCTCTTCCTCCTTTTCTTGCTCTTTCTCTGAAGCCTATCACTATCCCCCAGGGATTTTCTCTGCCCAGCAGCTTAGCCACCAAACCGAAGAGGTTACTGCTTCAGGACTTAATTATTTAAAAAATACAAAATAAATGTCATATTTATTAGAAATTTTTCATCACTAGCCACCAAGAGGCAGTGTTTCCCTTGAGAGAGATGCCCCAGCCTGGGTTATCAAAAATGTCATTTTAGCTGTCAAAATTAGAGGATTCTTCTCCAGTTCATGGTAAATTTCTATAACCCCAGAATGTTGGAGACAGGGAGAGGGCAGGGGGGATGGGAGGCTCAGAAGCCCTTTAGCTCAGCTCTGTGGCCTGGAACACACTAGTTTATCTGTGTCTGTCTCCTCATCTGCAAAATGGAGGTTGTATTAGACCCAGTCCATGAGGCTGTTTTGTGAGATTCATGAAGAAAATAGACATAGTAAGTATATAATAAATGTTATTGTTGGGCGCCTGGGTGGCTTAGTCAGTTAAACATCTGCCTTCGGTGCAGGTCATGATCCCAGGGTCCTGGGATAGAGCCCCATGGCAGGCTCTCTCCTGCTTCTCTCAGGGAGAAGGGAGCCTGCTTCTCTCTCTCCCTCTGCCTCTCTCCCCTGCTTGTGCTTCCCCTCTCTGTATCCCTATCAAATAAATAAATTTTTAAAAAATTGTTATTGTTAAGGCATAATAAGATAAAAGAGGACAACCCAGACACATTCTTCCCTGAAAACAAGTATTATAAGGAACAGAAATGAAAACAAAACAAGACAAAACAAAACAAACACACTACATGGTCCCCAAGTATTGGAAGTAGCAGGGAAGAGAAAGCAGAAGCCAAGTCCCCTGACAAGTTTCCTCCCCCTACGGGCTGTCTGGGCCACGCCTGCTGCCAGGCATGGAAGGGAAATGAAGAGCTACATCAGACTCTCAAGCTCTGTTCAGCTCTGCCAAGACACTCCAGAGCCACAGAGATCTTTCCCAACATCTTAATGCAGCTGAAGCCACGCCGTCCTTTAGACCCTAGAAGCACCAAGCTCTTTTCTGCCATTCAGGAGTGTGAGCTTCTGGAAGGCCTTAGGAAGCGCCATAGACAGGCCTGGAATGGATTCCAGAAGCCATAGTGGTACCTGCGACTGGATCATGGAGTAGATGGTGCTTCCTTCTCCGGGGGGATTCTGCCTCTGCATCTGCACAAGAAAGAGTAAAGGGGCACACGGTCGGATGGCTGTGTCTGTCCAGATTGGGGTTGGGTGGGGAGAGACAGAGCAAACAAGAGGGGCGCCTGGAAGCTAGTGAAGGAGGTGGTCATCAGTCACCCCAGGATAGGGAGCGACAGTAGAGAGAGCGACTCACACTGAAGTAGTTACTGTCCCATGCAAGGAACCCCCCAGGTGTGAAGGGATTGCACCGGGTGACCCTGTCCACAGGGGCTCCGATCATCGGCTTTACTTCAGTAACTTAGAAACTTGCCTTTGCTGACTTCTCAGCCAGATTTCCCACGTAACCACCGGGCCCTGAGCAGGGCTGTTATCTGAGCCTCACCTCAGGGCCTGCACCTACCTCAGAGGCTTTCACTGTTTTAAAGCCCCTTCTCTAGATCCAGCCTTGGTGCAGAGTTTGCCTTAGGCCTGATGTCAGCCTCCGGGCAGCCGCAGAGCTGAGTGAAGCCTTGGACTGAGGCCAAAGGCAGGGAGACCATGCCTTTCCTGTTCCCCTCCTGCCCACAGGAGTCAGAGTTGGAGATGTTTTACCCCTGAGCGCCTATTGCCAGGTTGGGCTCGAACGGGGAGCAAGAGGGGGTCAGCAAGAGGAAGGAGCACAGAGGATCAGGAAAAAGCCTGCTGTCCTGGGAGCTCGAGAGTCATGGGCATCTGGCAAGAAACGAGAGTGGAGCGTCTCTAGAAAGGTCAGAACAGGGCCCCAGAGTAAGAGCACATGAACTTGAGATTTAGGCCTTCAGACCAAACCCCGAAACCCATAGGGAGAAGCCAGCAAGGGATGAGGCCATGGAGGGAGGAGCTCCCAAGTCAGAGGCAGAGGCCTAAATCCCCAAGAGATTTCTTTTTTTTTTTTCTTTTTCTTTTTTTTATATATTTTTTTAATTTTTTTATAAACATATAATGTATTATTAGCCCCAGGGGTACAGGTCTGTGAATCGCCAGGTTTACACACTTCACAGCACTCATCAGAGCCCAAGAGATTTCTTATCCTCTGACTAGCTCTTTTCCACTCTTCCCCTGAATTTACCTAAATGCTGATGACCTAGAAGATGACCTAAAGTCATCCTCATTTTGTGGGAGGAAAGGCAATTTGTCGCAAGCATCTGGGCTTCTAGCTGTAGGTAGACACATTTGCTCTCAGGCATTCGTCCCAGTGGCTGGTAGTGATGGGAGAGACAAAGTCTCCTTTGTGTCTCACACCCCAATATTCCATGAATGGGGAAAGGAAACGGGCCGGGGAAGCTGCCCCGATTCCTGATTCCCATGGGGCCCAGACCTGAGGGAAGAGGTTTGCCTGTTCCACAAGGCCTCACACTTGTGATAAAGCGGGAGATCCCACCACTCTGACTTTCTGTCTCACTGCCTCAGGTGGAGCTCAAGGAATGGGGGTGGGAAGAGGGCCCTTCCCTTCCCTCCCCCGCTCCTGGCTGGGCAGTTAGGCCCTGCCTTTCCCTTAGGCCTGTCACCACTTCCTGCCCTACTTAAGGGCAGGCAGTGGAGCTGCGCCCTACAGGGCCCTCCCCAGCTCCACCCTGCAGGCCGGCAGAACTGGCCACTCCCTGCAGAGGCTGGCTTGGAGAGGTTCTTCATAGATTCTCGGAAGAAGAAGCCACTTTGGCTCCTCAGTTTTGTGCTAAACTGGTTTCTCGCTCGCACATCTCAGCCAGACTCAGGCCTCTTCCCAAAATGCTGTGGACGCAGACCACTGAGCTAGCTGCAACACTGTTATGCATTGGCTGGTCAGACTGGCTTCCACCACACCCAGGGCAACAATAGAGGGACCCACAAAAGTAAACTTGGACATGCATGGGCATGAGAATTTGTGGCCAGACACAAAATGCAAGGAAGCTGGATTCTTCTTGGGCCTTAGCGCAGCCACGGAGACTAGGCAGAAACAAGGACACCAGGCAGCCATCACCCTGGGAGGCAAGAGCGGCATTCTGCCCTCTTCTGTGGATTTGTTGGGTTCCATCCTTCTCAGCAGGTTCTCCCTTGTTTTCTGCTTGTCCTCCACAGCCAGAGCCAGGAGGGTGATGGGAAGACAGAAGGGAGGGCTGAGGACCACTCTAAGAAGACACTCATGTGACACCCTTTGTCTCCCTTCTCCTAACGACCATCCTCCCAGAAGCATCTTCCAGGCTAATGGAGAGAGACCCCCAGCCCCTCCTGTACCGTACTTGATTACACCTGTTTTGCAAGTTGTTGACGTCTTCATAAACTGTCAGAGGTTCCCCTGGGACGATATCTGTGGGAGAAAAGCAGCAAAGACAGAGCTGCAGAGACCTCCAGAGGGCATCCTGTCCAGGCTTCTGCTTCTCACAGTCCCACCTCCATCCCAGATGGCCAAGACCTTGAGAAAGATTCTAGAAAGGAGGCAGATTAGTGCTCTCCCCAGGATGCCCACAGGGGCAGCAACCAGGCAACAGAGCAGTCCATCGGGCTGGGCAGCCCCCCAACAAACCAGCCCCCTGCAGATTAAATCTGCACATTGGCCTGCAAACATCCCCGAGGTCCCTCAGTAGGTATGACCTGGGAAAAAGGGCCCAGCAGCTTTCCCTCCCCCAAACCTGCACACACATGTCCCAACGCTCCAGAGGAAAAGCAGGTGCTGTGCTCCCAGGCGCGTGCCACTGGGGACGTCAGGTCAGGCAACAGCACCTCCTGGGGACCCGCACTTACGGCACTGCTTCCTCTTCCTCCTCCACACACAGAAGCAGGTGAGGGTGACCAGGAGCAGGATGATTAGAAAAATCACGATGAACACCAAGTAGTCCACAAAGGTGTGTTCTAGGACATGGAAAGCACGAGGCCTGAGCTTTCAGCCTCTCTCTCCCCCTTCCCACCTGTTGGCCAGAGGACTTGTTTCAGACCTGCACTCCCCCCTTGCACCCCATTGATCGCACCATCAACCCTGTCTCCCCACAGTTGGGTGACTTCCCCTGACTGATGCTAAGGGCATGGATACCAATGTCTGACAGGCCTGGCTCTGTGCCCTTGGGCAACTTCCTCAACTTCTCTGAGCCTCCATCTTCTCACTTATAAAAGGAGATGATGTTATCTGCATAAGGGGGTAGATCGTATGATCTAATATATGTAAAGCATCGGGCACAGCAAATGGGACGTATACCCATTCTTTTGCTAACTCAACAAAACACTGCACCCCACTCTGGGCCCGGCAGCCCTCCCTTCCCCTTCCTGCCACTCCCCTTCCTCGTTTGAACTTCCACATTCCTTATCTGTGTGGTAGGCGTAGCATGACGTGGGAGCCCATCGACAAGGGAAGAAGGGGAAGAAGTTCCGCGTTCTAGGTGCTCGCTGGTGAGGCTCTTCACAAGCATAACCTCACCTACTCTTACTAGCAATCCTGGGAAATACGTCTTATCCCCACTTTACCCAAGAGAAAAACTGAAGCTCAGAGAGGGTAAGGAATCTTCCTGAGACCACGGAGCTAGTGAGTAATGAAACCCTAGCTGACATGACCCAAAAGCCAGGGTCCTTGTCACTCCAAATCGCTTCAGCTTGTTGGTTGCTTTTTTTGCCTAGGAATGCCTAGTTTTGTTGCCCGTATTGGGCTGTAAACTCCTTAAGGACAGGGACAGCAAGTAGGTTTTTCCCTGTAACGCCTTTGCTGATGACACATTAAGTCTTTATTCCTCTGATACAAATTGTTGCAAACTTAACCCAAGATAAGTCTTAGGATGACCATAGGCAATAAACCAAGAACTCTCCCAGGAACCCTGTGAACAAACTGACTTTCCCATGACCCAGGGCACTGTTGTACCCCATAGTCACCTCCTGGGGAACTACATGGCTCGGGGAAGTTACCCTTCCCTGGGAGGAGGAAACAGGTCTCCACCCGTCTGTCAGAGGAAGGAAGTGATGACCAGCAGCCGGGGCAGAGCCGTGACCCACCAAACAACTAAGCTTTCCTTACATAAAGGAAAACTCACATCTCCTAGGATTCTTGTTGGGGATAACAATCTTCTCAGACTAAGCTACACCTGGCTTATGGGAACTCTGTGCCCAGAGACCAGGACCACCCCAGGGAGGGGCTGCAAGGCACTTGAGGAGGCAACCAAAGGGTCTTATACCAAAGCATCTCTGGCATGAGTCTGATTATGGGGTCCAACATTTTCAGCCCCTATTAGTGTAAAGTGCTCCACTCACGCTTATTGTCACAGCTCTGGGAGAAGGTGTGGTTTACCCAGCTGACTGGGTTGCTGACGTTGCAGGTGTAGTTTTCCAAGCTGTGGACATCAATCTGTTCCTCCAGTTTGCTGAGATTGTTTGGGGTCTCGATCAGCTCCTTCCCTCTATACCAAACATAGCTCACATTGCCACCTCCAGAGACTGAGCAGGACAGCGACACTTGGCATTTCCCTCCACCCAGGACCTTCGTCTCCCCCACTGCTTCAAGGGTCCCTATGGGATCTGGAAGCAGAGATTCTGGTCAGAAAGGCACTGGAAATAAAAACCTTGCAGGGGGTCAGAGGAGCAGGCTGAGCAGTCCTAGGGACTCACCAAATACAGAAACCTGGAACTGGTGATGCTTAACTTCCCCACTGTCACCAGTCACCTCCAGGAGGTACAGGCCACTGTCCCTCGGCTGAGCTGCTTTGATGAGAAGAGTTAAATTCTTTTCCCTAAAATCGAAGATCTCTTTTAAATCATTAGTCCACACTTTAGTCTTATTCTTCCAAGTCAGTATCACGGAAATTTTTGAAGTTGAGTTCCTCTGTATCTTCCATTTAACAGAGTTTATGTGCTTTGTCTGTGTTGTGGGGGGTTGTAGGGAGAGTTGCATTCCCGAGAGTCCGACCACAGGTTCAGCAGAATCTAGGGATTCCAGAAAAGAGAACCCAGGCTGGAGGCCGCAGGAAGGGCGCCACCCTGAGCATAGCAGGCAGTTGGATATGACTTCCCTTGAGCCAAGAGGAAGGGGGCATGTGTGAGGAGACCAGAGGCTGAGAGAACCTGGAAGTGTACTTCCCTTTCCTGCCTCCCCGCTCCCCAGGCTCTGTGCCCCTCCTCTGAAGGAGCCCACCAACCCTAAAAATAGTTAAAACCCCCTGACTTCTTTCTGTGGGGCAGCAGGCTTTAAACACTTCATGTAAAATTTATAAAATACTTTATATAAAGTTTATAAAACACTTTTATGTAAAGTTATATAAAAACATTTTAAGCGGGGTGCCTGGGTGGCTCAGTGGGTTAAGCCTCTGCCTTCGGCTCAGGTCATGGTCTCAGGGTCCTGGGATCGAGCCCCACATCGGGCTCTCTGCTCGGCGGGGAACCTGCTTCTCCCTTTCTCTCTGCCTGCCTCTCTGCCTACTTGTGATCTCTGTCAAATAAATAAATAAAATCTTAAAAAAAAAAACATATTAACCATGTTTAACTATGTGGTTTTCTTGGTTTTGTTTTTGTTATTAAATTTTATTTATTTACTTCACAGAGAAAGACACTGTGAGAGAGGGAACACAAGCAGGAGGAGTGGGAGAGGGAGAAGCAGGCTTCCTGGTGAGCAGGGAGGCTGATGCGGGGCTCAATCCCAGGACACTGGGATCGTGACCTGAGCCGAAAGGCAGATGCTTAACGACTGAGCCCCCCAGGCGCCCCTTAACTATGTGTTTTAACAATGACCTTGTAAGAGTTTTATCCCTATTTTACAGGTGGGAAAAAAACTGAGTAGAAATTACTGAAAAGTAATTAGCCCAAGTTACAAAGCAAGAAAGATGAGCTTGAAATCCAGTCAATTTAGAGGCTGTAGAGGAGGCGTTTTTAACCATAATGTTATAAACACTATCTGATGTGACTCCCTCCCCACAGAGCTGAGGCAACTACCGGTGACTGCTAGAAATTCTGAACGGGCCAAACCCAGTAAGATGAACCCTCCAAACTGAACTCATAGTTCCCTCCCCTGTCCTCCTATAGAGCTATATTCATAATCCTCTCTTGTAACACTTAACACACCAAACTGGGGTCATTTCTCATTAAGGTTTGCCAGTTTTGTAGTCACTAGGAAGTCTCCACAGCAATTACTCCCTTAAGAATAATTAGAGAAAAATAAAACTACACGGCCTTGATATATGCCCATGGTTGTCCTCTCTAGAGATCAAGATGTGTGCTAATTAAAATGAGGCTGTGACATAGAGCTGCTAGTTTTTGCCTCCCCGAGGAAAGACCAGTGCAGTCAGGAAAGAAAAATGGAAGTTCCAGTGGCCATTTTTGGCAGGGAAGCTGTGTGGTCACATAGAAAATGCTGGAAATGAAAAGGTCCACCGGGGAGGGTCAGAAAGTATTTGGAGGAGAGAATAGGATACGGGGATTGTTATATGAACAGATCTGTTAAGATGGAGGACATTGGGAGGAGAGCAATGGAGAGGGGGATTTTTAGATATCCATTTGCGTTATAAACATGTTCACTCCCAACCACATCTTCACCCTGGCATTTCCTCAGGAGTCAGAGTAAATAACTAAAGAAACTTGAAAAAATAAAGAAAGAAAGAAGTTATTCGGTTGATAGATTGTATTTCTTTGCTCTTGACACTCCTAAGAATAAAATACATAGGGTTCCGGGCACTGGGCTGGCTCAGTCAAGAGATCACCAGACTCTCGATCTCGGGGTTGTAAGTTTGAGCCCCACGTTGGGTGTAGAGACTACATAGGAAAAAAAATCTTTTAAAAAAAAAAACAAAAAGGGGCGCCTGGGTGGCTCAGTGGGTTAAGCCTCTGCTTTCCGCTCGGGTCATGATCTCAGGATAGAGCTCCACATCGGGCTCTCTGCTCGGCAGGGAGTCTGCTTCCCTCTCTCTCTCTGCCTGCCTCTCTGCCTACTTGTGATGTCTGTCTGTCAAATAAATAAATAAAATCTTTAAACACACACACACACACACACACACACACACACACATAGGGTTCCCATTCATATTTCCATGATTGAACTGGCTCTGTCCATTGCCAAACCAGAAACCGACTGTGCATTTGTCTCCCATGGTCCTACAGATGCAAGAGGCACAATGACGCATTGCACAGAAAGCCTGAGATCAATCCCCACTGGTTACAATCCAGAGTGTGACCAGGGCCCTGAAGAGTTGGGGCCCCTTTGTGTATCAGACATGTTTCCTGACTCCAAAGAATTTGTGATCTGAAAGCAGAACATACTTTTATTCCACAGCATAGCTGTTTTATTCTTAACAGTTGAGATAAATAATCATCTAAAGAAATCTAATTCTGATCATGAAGACCACATTAAGACATGCTAACCAACCCTCCCACTGAGAATAACTAGGGAAAAAATGGGCAAAGTATAAAAGCATATTGCTAAAGGCATCAGGGAGCTAATAAAGCAGTGAAATATAACAGGACGAAGATCTGGAAGGAGGAAACTTGGAGAGGTGAGGCTAGCATTTTTGACTCCCATTCCCAGAAGGCTTGCAATAAACTCAAGGAACTAAAAGAACACAGAGTTCAAGGATCTCATGTTAAGAAGAAGTGGGTATACTGAGTCACCTGGGTGGCTTAGTTGGTTAAGCTTCCAACTGTTGATTTTGGCTCAGGTCATGACCTGAGGGTTCTGAGATGGAGCCCTGCATCAGGCTCTGGGCTCAGCATGAAGTCTACTTGAGGATTCTTTCCCTCGTCCTCTGCCCATTCCCCTCCAACCATCTCTCTCTCCCTCTCTCTAATAAGCAAATAAAATCTTCAGGGGCACCTGGGTGGCTCAACTGATTAAGCATCTGCCTTGTGCTCAGGTCATGATCCCAGGGTCCCCAAGTCGGGTTATCTGTTCTGTGGAGAGTCTGCTTCTCCCTCTCCCTCTGTCCTTCCTCCTGCTTGTGCTCTCTCTCTGTCAAATAAATGAATAAAATCTTAAAAAAATAAAAATATAAATTATTCCTGGAGGAAAATAACATCAACATGAGCATTAAATTATTTCTAAAATTTGCAAATTTGCATGCAAATGTCCAAAATGAAATAAAAAACAAACAAGAATAAGGAGAGGAAACATGTCCAAAACCTAAAAGAAAAAATAACCAATAGAATTAGGCTCAAGGAGCATCTAGATAACTCTGTAATTATGTTTAATGTTTCAAGGAATTAAAATTTAAAGTTTGAGAATTCCAGCAGAAAATCAGTGTGAGAGAATGCAAAAATGGCCATGCCCCTTGCAAAGTGACTTTGTAGCTCCACTCATCATCAAAGATATAAGGCTCACTTTTCTATCTCCAGTAACTGGGCTGGCCTTTTGAATACAATGCAGCAAAAATGACATTGTGCCAGGGTCACCTGGGTGGCTCAGTCAGTTAAACATCTGACTTCAGCTCAGGACATGATCTCAGGGTCCTGGAATTGAGCCCGGCGTTGGGCTTCATGCTCAGCCCAGAGTCTGCTGCTCCCTCTCCCTCTCCCACTACCCCCCCCACCCGTGCGCACGCTCTCTCTCTCTCTCTCTCTCTCTGTCTTCCTCTCTCTCAAATAAATACATAAAATCTTTTTTAAAAAGAGTCAGAGAGAGAGACAGACAGACAGAAAGGACACAGAGAAAAGGGAGATGGAAAATAATTATACAGGATGCCTGGGTGGCTCATTTGGTTATGCATCTTCCTTCAGCTCAGGTCATGATCCTAAGGTCCTAGGATTAAGCCCCAAGTCAGGCTCCCTGCTCAGTGGGGAGCCTGTTTCTTCCTCTCCCTAGGCCTGCTGTTATCCCTGCTTGTGCGCTCTCTCTCTCTCTCGCTCTCTCTCTCTCTCTCTCTCTCTCTCTCTGTATTAAATAAATAAATAAATAAAATCTTTAAAAAAAGAAGAAAGAGGGCGCCTGGATGGCTCAGTGGGTTAGGCTGCTGCCTTCGGCTCAGGTCGTGATCTCAGGGTCCTGGGATCGAGTGCCGCATCGGGCTCTCTGCTCAGCAGGGAGCCTGCTTCCCTCTCTCTCTCTCTCTCTCTGCCTGCCTCTCTGTCTACTTGTGATCTCTCTCTGTCAAATAAATAAATAAAATCTTAAAAAAAAATAAAAAAGAAGAAAGAAAGGAAGGAAGGAAGGAAGGAAGAATTATACAACAGAGGATCAACAAGCCATTTCTTTTATTTCATAAAAATCAAAGTATGGGGGGCACCTGGGTGGCTCAGTGGATTAAAGCCTCTGCCTTCAGCTCAAGTCATGATCCCAGGGTCCTGGGATCGAGCCCTCTGCTCAGCAGGGAGCCTGCTTCCTCCTCTCTCCTCTCTCTCTGCCTGCCTCTCTGCCTACTTGTGATCTCTATCTGTCAAATAAATAAATAAAATCTTTAAAAAAAAATCAAAGTATGGTAAATGCATAGCTAGATTGATCAAAAGAAATACAAATAAGCAATATCAGGATTTTTTAAAGATATCACCACAGATCCTACAGATATAAAGATCTTAAGAGTTATAAACTGCTTTCCATCAGTAAATTTTAAAATTGAGATTAAATAGAAAATTTCTACGAAGTAAATTGAATCTATACTGAAAAACCTTCTCACAAAGTAAACTCCAGACCTAGTTAGCATCACTGGTTAACTCTACAAAATATTTAAAAAGATTTAACTCCAATCTTACCCAAATGCTTTCAGAAATAGAAGTAGATAATACTTCCAAACTTGTTTTATGAGGTTAACATATTTATTAGTTTGACACCAAAATCTGCAAGGATATCACAAGAGAAGAAAATCAAAGGCTCTTTCACTCAGAAACATGGGTGCAAAAATCCTAAGCAAAAGACTAGCAAACAAAATAGCAAAACACATAAACAAGAAAGTGTGGCCTATTTAAAAGGGAGAAAAAGAAAGTAACCATGAAGAGTCATAGACATTGGACTT